GAAGAATTGATTTTGAATAGTGATATGATGAGAAATGTGTGGTTGAAAAAGAAGATAAGATTATTGATGTGACTGAAAATATTATTNTATGATGGGAAATGTGTGGTTGAAAAAGAAGATAAGATTATTGATGTGATAGAAAATATTATTTTATTGAAGAATGTGTGGTTGAAAATGAGAATTGATTTACTGTTGAAAATGAGAATTGGTACCAAATATAGCCTTAATGCCAAAGTTCAACACGTGTTCAAAGAGGCCAACATGGTAGCCGATCTTCTTGCTAAAAATGGCAGCAGTGGTGTGTCTTCAGAATTATCTTTCGGCGATGAGGCTCCAATGCTACTTAAAGGAATTTTACATACGGATAGTTGGGAATTACTAAATGTTAGAAATTGATTGGTGTGGATTTTTATGGCTTTTTGTAATCTTGGTTTCCCTCCGCCACAAGTGAGGTTTCATTATTAATAAAATTTCATTTTTTTTTAAAAAAGTAACTTTCTGGGTCATCGACCTTTTTGGATATATTTTTTTACTTATAATTTCCGCCAAAGAGTTACTCCTGTTTTAATTTTTCCATGTTTGTTTCTTTTACCTTTAACAGGAAAATTCAGGCATCTTCCAGTTGTTGAAAATGGTGAAGTTATAGCTATGCTAGATATCACAAAATGCCTTTTTGATACCATATCAAGAATGGAGAAGGCCGGAGAGCAGGAGAGCACCATCGCAGCAGCTGTTGAAGGAGTGGAACACCAATTTGGAAGCAGTTTCTCTAGTTAGTTCTTACTTAAATGGTTATTGGCTTTGAACTATCGATCGTATGCAAGGAATATTAGCTGTAATGGTGCTAAAATGAAATTTATTATCTGCGTTTTGAGGACTAATTTTGATTTTATATACATCTGTTTCTTACATTTATTTTAAGTGGTGTTGTCTCATATTTTAATGTTTAAGTGTATGGGTTCAAAATTTTGTAATGAAATTATCNACGTTTGGCAAACGTTGCCGTATCTTTCTACGACAACGTTTAAAAAACGGCAAACGTTGCCGTATCTCTCTACTTTACGACAACGTCTCGATTTGCAACACACGTCTAAACGTTGTCGTATGCCTACGTCAACGTTTTTTGAACGTTGCCGTAGGCTGTTTTTGTTGTAGTGTTTAACATGGTACATTTTGATCCAAATTCGACACATGCAGACATCCCGAATAAGTCTTGAACCTTTCTTTGTTTCCACTTCAATTACTCATTTTCCTTTCACTTCTAGTAAATCTACATTTCTCAATCTCACATTTGAATTTGTATTTTCAATATCAGCAAAGATATTTTCGTTTGAGGTCATATGATTGGTGCATCCACTATTTAAAAACCAATAAGTTTCTTGTTACTTGGATCAATTTGAACTTGGGAAGCATGAATCATTTTTTGATTCTTATGCACTCAAAAAAGCATAAAATAAGATTGATTCATTCTCCTTCTCGACTGCACAATTAGCTTGTTGGGTGCTCTTTACTCTACATTCTCCTTTCAAATGCCTAAACTTCTTACAATTGTGGGTTCTCTTTAAACCAACAAAATGAAAATTTAGAATTTAAACTTATTTTACAATAAGTGGACTAACAGCAAGTCCCCCACATAATGTCTAATTCAGACAGTTGAGGTGCCCGCTTTTTCGAAAGTCATATATAAATTTATTATAGCTGCCGGCATTTTTTTTTTTTTGGAAGGAAAATTCTATATTTTCCTGTGGTTGAAAGGTTGGACCGGAGGCGGAAATGAATTTTTTTTGGTCTCTTGATAGTGATGTAAGGTTAGTTCCAATTATTATTCTATTTCTTTGGTCATACATCTTGATTTTGGTAAGTCGAAACTCTATCCGTTAATTTGCATGTTAATCGAATATAAATCATGCACATATTTGCGTTTGCAGGCAGCTATGTTTAAATATTAAAAAATAAAAATAAAAAATCGAGCCAGCTTGGCTCGTAAAGACCCGAGCTGAAAGCTTGGATCGAGCCTAAATTTTTTGGCCAAACAAAAGCTCGACTCGGGCAAAAAAAAGCTCGAACAATTTTTACTCGAGCCGAGCCCGAACTTTGAATTTCGGCTCGTGGCTTGGCTTGACTCGTTGACACCCCTACTTGAGCATCTATGCAAAGGTAGCTATAGGAAAAAGATTTCAGAGTCACTAGAATTTTAATTCAACAACCGACAAATTGTGTCCGACCCTAATTATTTTTACGTGTAAATTTTAATCTTTTTTCTTCACAGATCACCATAAATTTGTTCTTTCTTCTTGCAAAAAGTCAAAATTATTGTTTTCTGAAACAGAAATTTAAGAAAATAAGGAAATACGAAGGTTTGAAACATGCAGTGTTTAATTTTGTTTCCATAATTGATGACAACAATTGATAAGTGTATTTTATACACCAAATAACTTATTTGGACCATTTAATATGATTAATTATAATTGATTTTGATGACTTATGGCTTAATTAGATGTTAATTTTGTTTGTTAGATAAAACTCGAGGAAAATTAGGTGAATTGGAAGAAAAAAACGAAACATAGGTGAAAAAGGAAGAAATACAAAGTCTGAGGATCAAATTGTAAATATTCAATAGTTGATTCGAATCACAAAACGATAATTAAACATTGCTATGAGTCAATTAGATGCAATTAGAAGTCAAAAGAAGTAAAATACATTCAAAAGATTTTCACAAATCAATTTTCAACTGCATAAGTTATGTTCCAAATTTTTAATTGAAGATTTAGACTCATTTTTCTAATAGTAAACTTCGAATTGGAGAAATTATACTTGTAGTCATTTGAGTTAGTTTTTCAATATACTTTGAATCGCTTCAATCAAATATCGGAAGAAAAAATTATAACCAAATTACTAACGACTATGTAGAGACATAATTATGCGTGCAAAAATAATTTTCCGTATTTGGTGGAAATTGTTTTGGAACCTAATTTGAACATTTTTGACCTAATTTTACCTCATATAATGAAGACACGGACAACCGTTGAAGGATCTCTCTCTCACCTCTCAAATCACTTCCATATTATAAAATATTTAAGAACAAAGGGTAAATTCATCATAAGTTGGAGATGAGAACAAATATAGCACGTGAATTAAGTCAAAAAAATCAAGAACTTAAAGAATCAAAGCTCATGGTGGATAATCAAGAACAAGAATTAAACTGTGACATCTCTTTCTTGTGTTTATAATTTTCAGATGATGTTTTTTTCATTCTTTTTGTTGTTTTATTATTCAAAATATGTTTAGCTATATTATTGGGATAATTGCAGCTGAGGTCCCAAATCTTTCAAACAGTGGTAGACTTTTCCCTAACCTTTCAATCGTTGCAGCTGTTATCCCAAACCTTTCAAATCGTAACAGCCGATGCCCCCAATGACGGTTTCCATCCAATCTGTCGTTAGGTGATCAAAAAAATTAATTTTTACCATATTTTAATCAATTTTAAAAGGGCAAAATAGTAATTTAATATTTTTCCATAAAATAATTAAAAACTTAAATCAAAAACCAAAAAATAAAAAAAGGAAAAGTTTTGTAGGGTTTCTTCTCTTTCCTGACACCTCTGCAATCAACTTGTAGTGTGGTGGAGGGAAATGGTAAAAGATAAAAGGGAATTTCTTGTAGTGGAGATTGGCTGAAAGGACTGTAGTGTGGTGAAGTGAAGTTAGTGTGTGAAATCATCAATTCACTATCCAAATATTTTTGAGCCACCGGCCCTGTTTCTTGTTCCGCCGACGATGGGATCAGTGGGTTAGTGCAATCTAAGATGTTTTGAACTTTTTGTACTTGGGGTGCACGGCATCAAAGCTGGACAATGACGACACGGTGTGGTGGTGCAAGGAGCGGCGCTGCATTATGAAGGAAGCGGTCTTTGCTCGCCACCACTTCGTCGCAGCCCACTCTGATTACCGTCGCTCCATCCACATCACGGGCTCTGCTCTTGTGACATTTGCTTTTGATGAACCCTTTTTAGTTTCACGAGACCCCGCAGCGCTCCAAGCTGTGGGAAAAGGGAAGAGTACATAAAATAAAAATATTTTTATTTTTATTTTTATTTTTTTGGTTTTTGATTTAATATTTTAATTATTTTATGGAAAAATATTAAATCACTGTTTTGTCCTTTTAAATTTGATTAAAATTTGGTCAAAATTAATTTTTTGGTCAACTAACGACATATTGGATGGTAAACCATCTATTGGGGTCTCGTTTGTTACGATTTAAAAGGTTTGGGGTGACGATTGCAACGATTGAAAAGTTAGGGAAAAGTCTGCCACTATTTCGAAGGTTTGGAGCCTCAGCTGCAATTATTCCTAGATTATTTGTATTGGATGAAAATGAACCATATTATTTATTTATTTTAGGATTAATAGCAAAAAAATACTTATGTTTAAAAATTATTTAAAAGTATAAAATTAACTTATAAATGTAAAATATACTTATAAAATCACGCTTCAAATAAATTAACAAAAACAGGCTTCTAAAATCAAGAAATACAAAGAATTTCTCAGACAAATTTTAAATTGTAGCTTGTCCATGTAACTTATAATCAAATGCATTCAGCAACTCCTTTGATGGACCATCGAAATAAGTCTTCTGCAATTCCATAAAAGATTGCATCATCAGCAAGCTATCGGAACCCGCTTGATGTCTTTTTCCGGCAATTCTTTCGACATTTAAACTCTTTGCTACCCTCTCAAGGCCGCCGTGCACCCGCAGAAATCCCATTATCTGCTTCATGTCAAACACCTTTATCCCAAAATACATCCGTACCAATTGCATGAATTGCAACAGATCATTGGGCAAATTACGTTGGGACAAAATTTTTACCAAGAATCCGAAATCATACGTGCTGTGAAAAGTTATTCATGTACGATTTCTTCCCGGCCATCCCGGCGCCATTGAAATTCCAGAACCCATAAACAAGAAGGCAAAGTCAGCGGAACTTATTCCCATTAGCATGTTCATGGAAAAATCAATGCCTTGGGGCCTAAGCAAAGCGATGGATTCTGGGTTTTGGACATCCTTGTCCACGTCAAATTCCTTAAAATTGAACTCCCAGACGAAGCAGGATTCAGTCCCAAAGTCGGGGAGATTTCCTTGTGGATCGAATAACGTGAGGCCCTAGCATCTACGTTCTTCTTCATTATTGAGTAGTTTTGTGAGGGAGTAAGAGAAGAATGATGGAGGTCGGGATAATGGTAAATTACTCCAGGAAACTCAGTATCCATAGAAGCGTATGGAAAATAGGGAAGAATACGATAAATCAGACTGAATTCTTGTTCCAAATTGTACCGCCAAACTTTTCGTATTTTGATCATCCGAGCCATTTTTGTGGGTTTCAGTTTTTCCAACGGCTATTTGAAAAACGCAATTTGCTGGTTGTGGACGGTTGCTGGGTAGATGAAAACTTGGACAGATTATGTAGGTTTGTACCGTATTTCTTTTTTGTGTAACTTTGAAGAAGATCTAGTCGTATATATAATATCTGTTTCAAGTTTTGGTTCCGAATCCAATTGGGAAAGGGATAAATTTGATATTACAAGATAAATAGTAAGCTTCACATATATTTATAGACATAGATTTAGATGTAACATGTCGAGTTGGACATTAAAACAATAATTATTGTTAACCTTTTATCAATTAGCAAATCTTGTTCTTAATGACGATTTTCATTCAAAAAATTTTGTTATTGTACTTTAAAATGATGGACAAATATTTAATCATAATTTTAATTTTTTTTCTTAAATAAATGAGGTGTAAATAAATATTTCTATTCCCTCTTAATGAAATTTTTGACAGAAATCGTTATCAAGGACAAGATGTATTAATTAATAAAAGACTCAAGACAAGAATTATATAAAAAAAAAAAAATTGGGGACATAAGTTCAACGATGACTCAAAGTTATGAATATTTCATATAATTAAAATGTTGTGCACTTATATGAAAATATGGTGTGAATATATTTAGTTATTTCTTCGTCCACCAAATCGGTGGATTTGGACGTTTCTCAAATTCTTTCTCATCTTACCCTGTATGAAGTAATTATTTTCAGCCTAAATATTTTGTTCAAAACTAACTTGTAAATAAAAATATAATAACTAAAAAAATATTTATAATAAAAAAAGTTACTTATAATATTAAAATTAACTTTTGTGTAAAAAAATTGCTTAAAATAAAATACCATTAATACTTATAAAGTATAAAAAGTTCCTAAAAAATGAAAAAAAAAATGTTTATAGGGAAAATAAAATAAATAGTCGAAACAGAGAGTATTGTTGGAATGAATAAAAAATTTACTCTTTACATTTGAAGATTCTATTATGTACACAATTTTCTTTAAATATAGAGTCTTTTAGAAATGCTCTAAGAACATTTCTATGATACTATTTAAAATTGAAATACTATATATTTTGATAGAAATTGGTGGGGGATTAAAATCAGATTTTTAGTAAATTTTAATAAAAATTGGTGGAATGTGTGATTAAAAAGTTATAGATAAGTCACGTTCTAAAAAAATCAATATTATAAAATCTATTACAAAATTGACTCAAATAGACCCTTAAACTATTATGTCCAATCAAAATCAACAATTAATAATTGTTGAGAAAAGTAAAATAAAGAGCAAAAACAAATAATTTGTTGGAGTGTATAAAATAATGTCTGTTTTAAGTTTAGGTTCCGAGTCCAATTGGAAAAGGATAAGATGAATAGCACATAGCTTTAGATGGAACATGTCGATATGAACCCAAAACAAGAATTCTTTTCTCATTCCCCAACAAGTAAAAGAAATTTATGTACAAATAATGTTTAACCACCATTGTCCAAATCATTAAACCGATAACAAAGAATTACTCCGTCAAATAATATATATTACATTAGGGGCCTGCTTCAGAGTTTTCTTTTCCACCGTTTTTGATCATTTTTAGATGGCACCATTTATGAAATGTTAAAAAAATAGATGCTTGTTAGTTTTTGGGACACTGATTTAAACCATTCAAATCAATGTAGTGTAATTTTGATTATGGCTGGACAAAACTTTCAAACTGAACTGATCGAATCAGATCTGAACCGAACCGAACTGAACTAAGCAATTTTTTTTAAATTAAATACTCTAATGGATATTTGAATCGAGAACCGACGAGTTCTGTTCTAGATCAAGAACCGAATAAAAACAGAATATCCTTAATTTTCTTAGTCTTAAATAAGTCAAATTAATTTATTTTTTTAAAAAATAAATTTGCTAACTAATTAATTTAACTCAAACCCAAAATATGATTTTTCTATTTCTAATTTATAGCCCAAGTTCAGTTAATCAAATCGATCTAAATTTTACTCAAATATCTTTTTCTACTGTAGTGTCATTTCTGTATGGAGAAATTGAATTGGAAACCTTTCTTTATTATTGTGAGTTTGCGATCTCTCTCTTTCTGTAATTTTAACTTTCAAATCTATGAGAACTCAACAAAGAGAGGCGCAAAAGATATCATGAGATTAGACTATGTTATTTTGTATGAGCTAAAATTGAATATGTCATTAGTTGAAATAATATAGCGTTGTTGTAAATATAAAAAAAAAAAATTAATTATTGAACAGAACCCCAGAATCGAACGAAACTAAACCCGAATGATTTCGTTTACTAAATATCCGAAAATTCGAGTTCAGTTAAAATCGAATCAGACTATGTTCAGCCCTAAATTTGACCGTATTTCTCAATATATCAAATTGGTAGATTTTTGACATTTTTCAAATTCTTTTCCATCTTACCCTCTATAAAGTAATTATTTTCAACCCAAATATTTTGTTCATAACTAATTTGTAAATAAAAATATGATAACTAAAAAAATTATTTCTATTTAAAAGTATTAAAAAGTAGAAAATTAACATATAAATGTAAAATATACTTATAGATAAAAAAAAAATTACTTATGAAATAAAATTTTTAATTATAAGTACATATTTCACTTTTTAAAGTTAAAAATTAACTTAGATTTAAAAATTACTTATAGATAAAATACCACTTACGAGAAAAACTTTCATACAAAAAAATTATAAATTGAAAAATTGCACTAGACGGCATATATGTAATTTTAGTATTATAACTTTTTTTTTTTTTTTTCAGAATCACTGATAATAAATTCCCAAATATGAGTTGAACTATTTTAAAAATCACTACTAAAATCCACCCAAAACCAAATGCCTCAAACAATCAAAATCGGTATTTTGGAAAACGATGTTTCTATTAGAGTCCGTTTGATTGCAAATGTGGAAAATGGGTGGAATGAAAAGATTTTACAGGGAATTGATTTTTATAGAAATTATTTTATTGGGAATTGTAATTAATTGTGTTTGATTGGTATAATTTTTCATGAAAAATGTTGAAAGTTTGGTGTCCATTTGTTTTCGTTTTTTATGAAAATTGTCCATTAAAGTGAATGCTTTCTACCATTAGGTCTATAATTTATTCTAATTGCCTAAAAAACATTGAAAAAAATAATCATACGGAATACCATTTCGTTTGGCTTTGTTTGCATGAAAATTGTCAATAAAAGTGATTTTTTTTTTTTTACCATTGTGTTTAGAATTTTTTCTAATTGCCAAAATAATAATAATAATAATAATATTGAAAAATATTTACCCACTAAAACA